GGGCCCCCCCCGGGGGCGGGCGGGGGCGTTTTTTTTTTTTTTTTTTTGCGCCAGCCTTGTCAGCGCGTTCAGCCCAGTGACGGCCGAACCCCCCCCCCGCCCAGCTCCTGCGCTTGCTGTAGCGATTGCTCATCGCTTCGCTAGGGAGGCGGAGGAGACGAAAGGTTGTTGCGTGCTTTTCTTTTAAAAAAAATTGTTCCATTAGTGCGATTGCCGATGTAAGAGAATGGTTGAGGGAGAAGGGGGGGGGGCGGCAGATCAGAGCCTCTTAATTAGCTTAGACGGATTTGTCCAAGAAGACGGTGACCGATGGGGGCATTGCACCCCCCCCCAACATTTCAGGCGAAGTGCACGGTCGCGCAGCGCTACGAACAGAGGCCGCTTGCGATGTTCAGTGACTGGCACATAATCAAAGGAGAAATGACTCGTGTGCAGACTTTTCCTTATTTCATTTTATACTGTAGCATTTATATATCGCTTACTATACGAAGATCGCCAAGTGGTATTTGCATTGATACTAACCTGGTACAGTATTTATTTGGATCGTAGCATGTGAAGAAGACGGGAAAAGGCGAAGGCTTTCATCATCTGGTTGGAAAGTTTCCATAGGAAGTCAAGAGTTACCATAAGGAAATGGGTGGTGTGCATTTCTGAAACCTGAGCCTATACACATTGACTCGGATGAAAGCCCACTGAGCTCAAGAAAGAGGACTTGCTGAGTAAGCAGGCATTGGGACTGGAAGGCAGAACTGATTACAGTATATTTGACTGGAGGGTTGAGGACAGGTACTCTGAGAAGGATGGGCTTTATCCCAGATGAGGGAAACCCAACAGATCTGAGTTAAAGACGGTAACTTTTTCCTCCAGAAATCCAGGATTAAAATGAGTTGGATTAAAGCAACCAGCAGTACATTCAGAGTATTGATCGGAATTAGAAGCTGGAAAGAAAATACCTCTTGCTAGGTAGCTGCTAGGAGCCTAAAGCTTTGCTTTCCAGCCAATGTCACCTCAGGACAGTGAGCCTGGTTTGTAGAAAACTTGCTCAACGTGTCTCCAAGGTATTCTAAGGTCATTCCCTTCCCCCTTTCTCTCATACTAGAGGAAACCCGTCTGTTCCAGATTACAGTACTTTTTTAGCCTGTGTACAGCATCAGTCAGGCTGGTGAAAAGGGGTGTATTATAATGTATGTTTACATATAGAACTTCTGAAAAGAGGTATCTGTGCCATGTTTAACATTGCACAGTAGCAACCTCTGATTTGGAAGAAAAATTCAAATGGACCTTGAAAACAAAAACTCCTTTAATAAATAGAGCATGAATTAGCCAGTGGCTTATTACAGTGTCTTCCCATTTTAAACTCTAGTAAATGTGGGGCATACATGAGTTTTCACCTTGTTTGTGCACATATGCACTTCTCTGCAATTCAGGACTTTCAGATCCAGTTAGTTTTACTGTGGCAGTTTTTAAATCTCTGTCATAGATGGGGTACCAGACGAGCTTTGATACACTGTTTGCAGAGCAGTATGTAAAAATATACAGTATTAGTAAAAAGGCTGCTACCTCTTAACAGTTTTTAATTTTTTTAATTTAAGATATTTTTACCCCTCCTTATTTCTAAAAAGGGACCCAAGGTGGCTCACATCATTCTTTCTTTTCAGAAGAGCACACTTTAGAATCAGACATGCATGGAACATAGGCAAAATCAAACACCTATTCATATGTCAAGACAATCGAACTATATTTGCTCAGAACTGGTCAGATTTTGAGATGTGTGCAGAAACTTTTCCTTGACTTCAGCCATCCTCCAGTGGGTCAGTATCTGTGAAGTGGGAAGGTTCGGTACTGTTCCACTGCAACGCTTCTGGAAGTGAAGGATTTACCGGCTGCGCACCATCACCCAGGGAACACCCATGGGAACTCACAGTGCTTTCCCACTCTTCAGGGAGGCCCCTTGTATGCCCCCCCAGCTTATATTATGGCATCAAGCTAAAAACAGTATATTATTCAAATATTTAAAATTTTTATAATGATTATATTAAAAATGTTAAGTAAAACAATTACTAAAAGAGATTTGAAAACAACAGAAATACAAACCATCCCATTTAAAAACTTTTAGACAGCCAGTCACTAAGGAAAAGCCTGCCTGAAAAGAAAGGTATTTTCCTGCTTGCGGAAGGACACAAAAAATGGGGCCAGCCTGGCCTCCTGTGGGAGGGAGTTCCAGAGCCTGGGAGCAGCAAGAGAGAAGGTTTGACACACCTTTGAGGGTGGTGGGACTGAGAGACAGACCTCCCCTCATCATCTTCACACCCAAGCAAGTTCTTAAAGGGAGATGCAGCTTGTGGATCTTTTTTTAAGGAAATGAAGGAGGATAAGCACTAAATATTAATGTGTTATTGTTGTTTTGAGGATTATGGAAACTTTCTCAGGAGATAAATAAGGTTTTCAAGGAGTGGTTAGACATTGTCAACTCTCATCTCACCCAAGCCCATGATTGAGCAGGGATTTGAGCCCAGATCTCCTGAGTTTGTCTTCAACATTGTATTTACTACTCTACCATGCTGCCTCTCATAAATATTCATGTGACAAGTGGGTACGGTCGCCGGGGGGGGCTGAGTGGTAAAGGCGGGAAACAGGCGAGGAGGCGAGTCTTCTTCATAATTAACAAGTTTATTAGAACGAACACTCAACTCAACAGGATCAAATGGATCCTTGAAAACATCATCAGTTAACAAATGATAGCGCTTAGAGGGCCGCGTATCCCCGCTCTCACTGAAGTCTACCAAGGGGCCGGGCCAAAACGCTCCCGATCGGTCATCGGTCGTAGCGGGGCACTTCTTACCGCGCACACTGTCCCGCAACAAGGGTGGCGGGCCCAATCTCCCTCCAGCGGCCTCTGTTGGAACTCGGGCCCCGGCCTGATCACCTTCCGACCACCAAGGAAATTCCGCGGGTATACCAACACGATCCATTCCAGTGGGTCATACACGCAGCCGCTACGACCAGGTGGTAACGGTTCGGGCAGTGATCCTCGTCCTTGTCCCAAATTAGGAAAATCCCGCGCAAAGTCTCCAATGCCCTCAGCCCCAAGCATGGGCTCAGTCTGAACCCCTCGGGTTACGTATCCTCCTAGCGCTCCTTCCCCCAGCCAACTGAATTCCCGCGCCTTTTCCCCCTCTTTTATGTCCTCCCACATGATCAAATCAAACTCCACCCCTTCTTCATCTGCCAAACAGACTTCCGTGGGCCTCCTCTTCACTCCCTCGTCCTGTTCTATCTCAACCAGGACGCCCTCCACGCAGCCACTCTCCTCTGGCTGTTCTTTTCCTTCGGAGGACGGCACACTCAGCCTCACTCCTTCACAATTCATAATAAACATGAAATAAGAATAAGAATGTCCCGTAAATTCTATAATGAGCATTATATCAGGTTTAGAGGATGTGCTCCTTCAGATGTGTATTTAGTAAAATAGGTGGCACTGCGGGTTAAACCACAGAAGCCTCTGTGCTGCAAGGTTGGAAGACCAGCAGTCGTAAGATCGAAGCCAAGCCATGGAGTGAGCTCCCGTCGCTTGTCCCAGCTCCTGCCAACCTAGCAGTTTGAAAGCATGTAAAAATGTGAGTAGATAAATAGGTACCACCTTGGTGGGAAGGTAACGGTGTTCCGTGTCTAGTCATGCTGGCCACGTGACCACGGATGTCTTCGGACAAATGCTGGCTCTATGGCTTGGAAATGATGAGCACCGTGCCCCAGAGTTAGACACGACTGGACTAAATGTCAAGGGGAACCTTTACCTTACCTATGGGCCACTTATTCTAAAACAGTGTCTAAGTCTTTTCAGTGAAATGTCAACAGCCTGTGTTTATTAAACTGCAACTCCCATCATTCGTAACTCCTGTGGAAGGGAGTTCCAAAGTCTGAGAGGAGCAACAGAGAAGGCTGTTCCCATGTCCCCATCAAATGCACCTGTGACCTAGCAGGCTCATAAATGAATATGTGATCCTTGAGATAGGTTGGGCCCAAACCATTAAGGGCTTTGTAGGTTAAAAATCATATTTTTGAATTGGGCCCAGAAACAGATCAGCAACCAGTGGAACTGCTGTAACGGGGATTATGTGATCACCAAACCATTAAGGGCTTTATAGGTTAAAAATCATATTTTCGAATTGGGCCCAGAAACAGATCAGCAACCTGTGACCAGTTAGCAAAATGGCTGCTGCATTTTATAATATTTTTACACATTAAATACTAGATTGCAGAGTGTCATCTTAGTATGGAAAGCTGCCTGCTAACATTGATGGATTTTAAGAAGTACAAGATAAATTTAGGGACAATAAAGGTTATTATATTTATATTGATTAGAATATTCATAACCTGCCCTCTGACTAAATGCACTGAAGTGGCTAACAAGATGTGCTGAGAAGGGAACAATGCATCATATTAGACACACCAAATCTTTAAAACCTCCTATAAACTCTTAAATAGCTGTAAAATCGATCTGAGCAGCTGAAGCAGAAGAGGATGGCCATGGCAAGCCACAGAAGGAGTGCTTTGGCCTGATGTCTAAAAAACAACAATAAAGAAACCAGATGAAATGTTCTGAAGAAACTCTTCAGATTCGCTGCTCCACTAAGAAGGCCTTGCCTCCATTTTATCATGCGCCACAGTGCCTACAGTAAAAGCACACTAAGCAGGGCCTCCATTGAGGACCTTGCCATGTTTTTGGACACATACCCTGTTTGTCCGAAAATAAGACCTAACCTGAAAATAAGC